CTCCGCAATGAGGAGGGGGGAGGAGGCCTGGACCACAAGGCCAGAAAAGGTCAAGGGGCAGAGAGGCCATGAGGGGCCCAGTGGGCTCCAGCAGGCTGCAGGACGCTTGGCCAGCAAGGCCTGTTTACTCAGAGGCCCATGAGGTCAAGGCCCAGGCCCAGGGTTAATTATTAACGGTCTTGTGGCTGCCCAGCGTGGTGTGGCCAGAGCCCGGAGCCCGGTACCGCCCCCCGCCGCTGCCGCCCCAGAGCGCTCCCTTGGCCTGGGTTTCCCAAAGCACTGACTCCCTGCAGCCCCCAGGGACTCTTGTACCATCCTCCCCAACTCAAGGCAGGCCTGTGCCCGAATCCTGGGGGCCCCCTGAAGTGGGCAAAGTGGGGACCCCCAAGGTTCCTGTTCATCTCCCACAGCCCAGCTTCTGGGTTACCACGCGCCACAGGGTCGGGGTGGGGGGGAGGGCAGAGGAAACCTCTTTCAGAAGGAGGATCAAACTGGACATGAGCAGTCAGGAGGAAGCCTGTTTTTCTGGCAGGGGACAGACTTGGCAGCAGTGCCCTTGGGGACAGGCACCCTAGGCCCGAGCTCATGGGGGCCCCAGACTTGAGGTTCTCTGGGGACCCCCGTGGGCACCCTGCTCAGGGACAGCTGAGTTCCGCGTCGTGGGCCTGGTTCCCACCACCTCCCAGGAGAGCAGGCCCACCAGCTCCCGTGCCCTGGGGAGAGCTCCGGCCCTGTCCCGGGAGCTGGTGCTGACAGACGCGCTGTAGCGCATTAGCAGGCTTGGGCTGCAAATCCCCACTTTGTCCTGCAGATTAGGCTCTCACCGCAGGCGGGCTGGCTGCCCACCTTCTCCAGCCTCCTGCGCGCCGCCCCCTCAGCATCCCGGGCCTGGGGACAGCCTCGCCCTCAGCCTGACCCGAGCCGGGGCCTCCGGGATGGGGGAAGGCTGGGGGTGTTGGGTTCAGGGGCTCCTCAAGGGGACGGGGCTGAGGGCCCGGTGCGGACTCCACCAGTCCACATGGCCCAGGACTCTGCATTTCTCACGAGCACCTGCTGGGTCCTCGTGGAAGAGCCCGGGCTTCAGATGGCCTCCGCAGGACGGAGCTCTCCTCGGACTTTTCACTCACTCTTAGACTGACACTGTCAGCCCGGAAGATTTTCACGTTATCTGTTGAGGCTTTGGGGGGATGGGGCCCGTGGACGGGTAAAGGGCAGGAAGGACCAGATAACCTGGGCTGGTCCGGTGGGGGAAGAGGGGCAGCCGGTGCCTGGGGAGGTTGGAGGACAACCTTCGCTTAAGCCTCGATCTCTGCGGGGAGTGCTGGCATCCCCTTCACAGCTATAAAGGGGGCTCCAGGCCCAGCCCCCCACCCCCCAGCAGAGAGCTACGTGGCTCCAGCCGGGGAACATTTGGGAAGGGCTTCAGGGCATGGCCTGTGGGTTTGCTCCTGGGGACAGCCTTTCTGTCTGGCCTCTGGAAGCCCAGCCTAGGCAGGTACGTGGCGTGGTGGCCTTGGACACCGTGGGGCACGGCACAACCCAGGCCCTTCAGCGTCCACTTAGGACCCGACTGTTCCCTTTTCAAGGCACCACTTCTACCCAACCAGGAAATCCTGAAAGAAGGCTGCCCATCCCTCCCTGAGTCAACACATGCTGCGAAGGAGGGGAAGGAGGGGCGGGGAGCAGGAAAACAGGCCATGGGACTCTGCTCCAGGAGTGCAGGCCACACGCACACACACACTCACCAGCACAGATAATGCACACAGGTGCACGCACATGCACACACACGGGCAGATGCACACGCACATACTCACAGCCCCCCCACGCCGCTCACGGTCACACGCACGCACACGTACACATTCAGAGTCACACACGACCACTCGGACCCATGCACACCCAGGCCTTCCTGCCCCCAGGAACCACTCTGAAGCCCCCACCCGGGCTCGCAGACACGGACCCACCTGCACGCACACTGTTGGCGCCCTCCCCCTTCGGCACCAGCGAAGCCGCGCCCAGGAGCCTACTCCCGGCACCCCCAGAAGCCCGAGACCAGGAGTGGGTACTCAAAGCTCATGCAAGGTTCTGTCTTCGGGGCCACATGCTGCCCAGGGTGGCCTGGGGCCCCTGGAAAACGGGGGCCAGGAGAAGGAGAGGAAGCAGCTGACTGTGGAGGGGTAAAGGGCTGGGGTTGGAGGTGCGGGGGGCCCTGCTGCCGGGGGGGGTTTGGGGGCACTGGACCCAAGGCAGATGCCCATTTCCTATAGATCTGCAAGGCTAGACAGACCCTGTGGCCCAGGGCTGGGGCTACGCACCGTGGGCCCTCAATACGGAGTGGTTAGATGACACAGCAATGGCCTGGTGAGGGTGAGAAGCGCTCTGTCCCCAGGTTGGCGGGGCCCAGGGAGGTCCCTGCCACCCTGCGCCCGCCTCGCCTTCTCGTAGCTGAGAGCCGGGCCCAGGTGAGCCAGCCTGCCTGTGGTTCCAACCTCCGGGAGGTGGGCAGGCAGCCCCGGGACGTGCCCACACATGGCTCCCCCGCGGCCGCACGCCAAGCCAACGCCAGAGTCAGGCCAAGAGCAGCTGTCTCAGGGCCTGCCCACCGCCCACGGCCTGCCCAGCCTTCCGCGCCTGCTCCGGCAGGAGACCCAGCCCTTGTCTCCCCGGCAGGACCCAGACTCCCGTCCATCCGCTGCCCTCCCCGGAGCCTCCTGTGGGGTCCCGCGTGGCCTGGCCACCCTCCCCACCTCCACGCCCATCACTCTGCCCCTTTCTCGGGGCTGTCGCTCAATCGGCTTGCTCCTGTTCTGGGACTTGGCACCACGTGCCCTCTGGACCTCTGTGTGGCTGGGCCCTACCGCTACCTCCCTAGGGAGGCTCTCTGGAAGCAGCCCCCAGTCACTGCCCAGGCACACTGCCCTCTGCTACGTAACCAGTTCCTCACGCTCTTCAAAATGGCCCTGCTCTTGGCCTCGTGGGCGTACCCATCATTCTGCTTCTTTGTTAGTTCCACAAGTCGGGAACCTTGTCCGTGCCATCCACAGCCTGCACAGGGTCTGACAGGCAGGTCGCTGGTGGTCCACCAATGTTTGTTGGGTGAATGACTGACTGAGAGGGAAGGCCACCTGTCAGAGGTGGGGGCAGGCCTCTACAAGGCACGTTGGGGCCTCCTGGGGCCCATGGGTTCACTCGCATCATCCAGGCAGGCCCCACTGAGTGGGTTAGGGCTAGGGTTAGGACTCGGACTCACCCCGCTTTGCTCTCCATGAGATTAGGCTTGGCCCTGGCTTCTGTCAGCGGGGACAGAGAGGAGATCCTTGTCTCTAGTTCCTGGACTTACTGTGGTCCCACACTCTGGCAACTCCTACCTCTGCACCTTTGTCTAGAACATTCTGATGCCTGGAATGTGTCTTCTGGCTGCCCTGATAATCTTTCCATTGCCCTAAGGTACAGCCAGGTCCCCCCCAACCAGCCCCAAAGCCCCCACACCACACAGCCCTGAGGTGGCACCCTGCTCTCCAGCCAGGCCACACCCTTAGCCTGGCAGTAATGAGTGCCCGTGAGTGGCTTCTAGGCACTCCGTGGGTTTCTCTGGAGGTCCTCACCACCTTGGGCTGCTTGGGGGTTGATGAGGGACTGGTCAGAAGTCAGGAAGGTGGGGATTGGGCAAGAGGTCAATGAGACAGGTCAGAGGACAAGGAGTCAGTCAGGTCTAAAGAAGCCCAGAGATGGGAAGGGGTAACTCCAAACCCAAGAGCTAAAGGCTTAGTTAACTGGTGAGTTGGTTAGATAGCAGGTTAGTTAGCCCCCTCCTTTGTTTGCCCCCTTCATTTGTTGAGCATACACCGCGTTTGAAGTGGGGGCCCCAAGGAGGACTGACCAGGCCTGTCTCAGGCAGGGTGGGGAAAGCATCCTCGGTTCTCACCCTGGACCACAGGTCCCAGACCGAAGCAGGCTTGCCACCGGGCTTTGTGCAGCCAGGGGGAGGTAACGTTGGTTTTTACATTGTTTTAATGGTGAGAACAAGTCAAAAGAAGGATCATATTTCATGACACGTGAAAATAATGTGAAATTTGTCAGGATGCTTGTGCTCTGTGATGGCAGGTGATGGTCACAACAGTGCCCGAGTGGCTGAGAGTGGGGTGAAGAGCCCTTCAGAAAACGGGGGTGAGGATTTGGGGGGCGGTTACAGTCTGTCACTGGGTGCCATGGCTGTCCCCTTCTCGCTCACTTGTCATCCTTAATTACCATAAGTAGGAACTGAGCACTTACTCTGTGCCAGGCATGGGGCTGCCCTGATTCCCCAAGACCTGTTCTCAAGGGCCACACACCCAGGGTCACGGAGACCATTGGGGGTGGGGGGAGCAGAGTCCAGAGAGCACAGAGGAGGGACAGGAAACCTGGCCTGGAGTGCATAGAAGCCTCTCTGGGAGGAGTGAAGCCCCAGCGACATCTTAACATTTCAGTAGAAATTTGCTGAGAAGAAAGGAGCAGGGAAAAGCATTGAAGGTGGAAGGAACAGCTTTCACAAAGGTGAGAATGACAGGCCTAGACCCGGTGAGGATAGAGGGGAGCCAGGTAATGGGGGGCTTTGGGCAATCAGAGGTCACCCCTCGTCACCAGCCCCACCTCATCCCAGCCTGGGTTTGGCTCCAGGCTGGCAATGGTGCCTGCCAAGGGAAGGATGCCAGGATCTGGCATGAGAGGTGGGGCACCAAGGGCAGAGGAGGGGACATCCTTAGGACCTCACTCTTAGCACCCTGCCCACCCCCGGGGGGTACCACTGCAACGGAAAGAGGCAGCTGGTGGGTGAGGTGTGGGGGCTCAGCCCAGGAGGGTGGGGGCTGCCGGGGCTGGGGCCACCTGGTCCTGCCCCCAGCCCAGGGGAGTCCAAGGACCAGGCAGGCTGCCATGGGGCGGGGGGTTGGGGGGGAGTTGGCAACAAAGGCCTATTCTTCAGAGTTTAAAAAAGTCTTAAAACCCGTCCAACTTTCTTTTGTTAGATGCTCCGGGACGTTTCCCCTTTGGAGGCTGCTCGAGATACCTGGCTGATAAAGGGCTGATTTGTGGAGACTTAATTATGGCCCCAAGCCCTCGGTGTAAACAATCGGTGAGTGTTTATTCGACTGCCTCCCCTCAGTGCTAATGCGGAGCACAAACCAGGTGCTGAGTAGTGGGACTTGGTGACCCCGGATTCTTGGGTTCCCTAAGCTGTCTCCCCCGTGGGAGGAAGGCAGTCGGGCCCAGAGTTTGGTGTGCACCCCCGTAGTTTGGCTGCCCAGTTTGGGGTCCTGGCACCATAGACTCCTGACAACTTGCTGCCCACCTGAGAGGGACCAGGATGGTCATCTGGCATTAAAGGGGAAGTCTGCCACACGACAAGTGCTCAGGAAATGCCGGACAGCCGTGCTGGGGAGGTGGCACTGTCCCTACTTTGACCCTGGCCGCAGCCCCTGGGAGGAAGCATCTGGATCCTCAGGTCCATCCCAGGCCAGCTGGATGAGCAGTGAGGTGGTGTGAGTTGAGGTTCTCAGCAGCCCTGCCCACATCTGCCCCCACGCCCCATCCCCAGACCACCCAGGGGTGTTCACGAGGTGCCGAGGCCTGCATATGGCTGTCCTTTTTATAGGCCTTACGTCCCCCGGGGATCAAGGTGGGTCCTAGTTGGCAAGTTTGAGGACTGTCCTGTGTACCTTCCCTGGCACACCCCAGCCTATCCTGCCTCCCACGCCCTGGGCCCTGTGCAAGCCTGGGCCCCACACCCACCTGAGGCACCCCCTAAGAAGTCACCAGGGTCAGGTAAGCTCATTCCCTCACCCTGTGCCCCCAAGGATGGACTCAGGGACTCGGCAAGACACAGCTTAGCTTCATTTAAAGGACAAACTCTGCTCAGGGCACTGGTCGGAAGGAGAGAGAGAGAGCGGGTCCCTCTAGACATGCACAAAAGCATACTCACCCAGAGAGACCCACACACTCGCAGACACGTGCATATTCCACAGGATCCCACACACACTCCCCAGGGTATGCACACACCCGGGCACTCCCCAGGCCAGGCCCCCACTGCAGCTCTGCTCCTGGTGGGGCCACGGCTGCGTCTGTGTGAGCAGGTGCACCATGGACCAACGTGGTGCTGCCCATGAGCGCCTGTATCAAGTTCCAGTACGTCTGGGAGGAAGCAGGAAGGAGAGGGCAAGAGATCCTCCTGGTCGTCTGTCTGAGGCAGGAAGGGGATACAGTGGCTGCTCAAGGTCAGTCCAGCAGGATCCAGCCCACCTTGGCCTTGAGCAGCACTCACACCAGAGGCTGCATCCAACGAGCTGGAGAAGTTTGTTCAGGGAGAACTCTGGGAAGGGCCAGCTCACACTTCAGTGGCCGCACCACATCCAGGTGTGCAGAGCCCCTCTTCCCCTCCCTCTCTAGCTATCTCTTGGGCTGGGGTGACCAGCCCCCCACTGGGCCTCCAACTGAGACCAGCAAGCCATTTTGAACCATGATGAGAAGAGGAAGTTCCTGTGGCCCCAAAACAGAAACAGGAAGCTGGGAGGGGGCATATGGATAGGGAACGGGAAGGGGGGGACACAGGCACCCAGCAGATGTACCCAGAGCACCCCAGCCTTCCTGGGCCCGGCATGCGCAGCCGTGTCTGGGCATCTCTGCCCAACCCCCGCACGACCATCCCCGTCTGCGCGTAGCTGACATCCACCCAAAGGGAGGATTCACTGAGGTTTTCTCAGATGCTGGCTAATTGTCCACCTGCCTGTGTTCAATTGTCCATGCCTATCTGGGTCTATTGAGAGGGCTCCGTGCATCCGCTGGAATCTTCCTTGTCCACCCAAGCGTTTGTATCTAGCCATGCACCTCTCCCTGGCCCCTGAGTGTTGCCTGGAGGACTCCCTGCAGGGCCGGCCTGACTCTCCTCCACCCACCATGTCCGTGTGATCACCGGACCACTCCCCCGACTGAGCACGCGCCTGTCTGTCTCCCTGGCCGCGAGTCGGGTGACTCCTAGCCCCGGCTCTGTTTCCCCAGCTGCCCTGTCCCCAGCCCTACCCTCACTTGGTAACTGCACGCAGGACTGTCCCAGCCCTCTCAGCAGAGGCAGGAAGCTGGGGCTCTGTCCCATACACACCACTGCCTCGCACTCCCTCCTGGAGCAAGAATGTCTCCTCTGTGCTCTGTGGGGTGGGAAATGGAGTGTCTGAGAAACATGCAGGGGCCCCAGCCCACCGTAGTCCTGAACAGAGGGACGGCAGGGTGTAGAATCACACCAACCACCAGAAATGGGGAGTGTCCTGCCCACACAGGGCCCAGGCTGGGGTGGGTGGGAGTGTGGAAGGCAGGAAGGAGGGCTCACTCCGAGAGGACATGGCATGTGGTTCCTCCCAGGTCTGGAGGCTCCTGCAGGAAGACTCGGGGGGTGAGTGGGCGGGGGCCGGAGCCAAGGGGCCAGAGAGGCAGATGTCACCAATTTCAGTTCTGCCCCAGCTGGCCTGAGGGCGCTTGGGACTTCCCAGGGTGGAAGGACAAGCTGGGGGGCCAGGCCACTCGGAGGCAGGGCTGGGCTTGAGGACCCCTTCCCCGGCCCAGCTGGGTGCTATCTGCGGGGGAGGCATCGGAAGTTCTAGGGATCCTTGGTGGGCAGGGTGTGCCCCTCTCAGGTCCCTCCTCTCTCCCTGAACCCCCAGAGTATTGCTGCTAGTCAGCTCCAGCCTAAGAGTATGGCAGCAGAAGAATTTCTTGGCCTTTTTGTCCCCACAAAGGAAGGCTTTAAGGGTACCGCTGCCCCAGGGGCATCTGAGAAACATTTCCAGAATGGGAGTGAGAGAGGCCAAGTGGCTACCTCATCAGATGCCACAGCCTGAGACAGAAACCACAAGAATCCCCCAACATGGCTCATCTTCGAGCTCCTTGAGCTCATCCCTCACAGAAGGAAAGTGGGGAGCAGGTGGGGCAGGTGGGTGAAGCCCCTTGCCTCTGCCTCAGCCCTCCCCTCTGGACCCGGCCAGGCAGGCGGTCAGCACCAGATCCAGCAGGGAACTGGGCCCCCGGGCGGGGAGCGCATCTGACTGGACCATGTTCTTGGGAGATCAGTTGTGAAACTTGCTTCAAACCCCCAAACCACAAAAACGGCCGATTTTCCCAGCCCTGTTCTCACGTTTCTCAGATCAGCCGAGGACTCTTCAGCATTTCCATCCAAGAGACGCCCGGCCAGCCGCCAGCCCCCTGTGGGGGGACAAGAAAATGGTGCAAGGAGACTTGAGCGCCATGGAAACCCCTCCCACGTTCACGGGAAGCACGCGGCGCTCACCCGGGTGTCTGTAAACGTGGGGTCCGGGGAAAGGGCGAGGCGTGGGCCTGATCACAAAAGCTGGAAATCAGGACAGAGGGACCCTAGAAGCTGCTAGGGCTGCCTTGGAAGGAATATTCGAGAACACCTTTCACAGGGGAAGACGGTACCTGGCTGGTGGAGGGTCAGAAGCCAGGGAACTGGGCAAACGCCCTTCAGTTTCAAAAAAGGTCACAGAGGCGTCCCCTCGTGTCTTCCCCCCGGCGCCTGGCGGACAGCGGGCGCACCGGGCCCTGGTTCTCCTCGTTCGGGGGCCAGTGAGAGCAGAAAAGCAGGCTCTTGCCAAGCGAACACTGGTCAGGGGACCCCCAGAGATGAACAGAACCCCAAGGAGGGACTCACTGCTTTTCTCAGCTGGGTGGTAATGACAGTAAAAACCATCTTAGAAAAAGAGAAGCTGTTGGCAGGTGCTTGGGATGACAAGCTGCCTCAAAGATTCCGAGCCCCATTCCCGCTGCCCGAAAAGCAGGCCACCTCGTCTGTCTTGCCCGGCCGGACGCCCGTCCACCTGCCCCCGGATGGAGCCAGGTGAGGCCCCTCCGTGTGCCGCCTGTGGGCCCTGCCCCGCCGCCCGCCTGCCTCCCGTCCTCACCAGCCACTCTGCCTGAGGGCCTGTCCTCTCCAGAGCCCGCTGTCCTCACCCTCCCCAGGCCCTGCTCCTCGCCCTCGTCAGCCACCACGGCTGCCTGTGCCCAGCCGGAACCTCCCTGTGGCTGGGACAGAAACCCTGACTCACATTCACTTTGGCGGCGATTCCAGAAGCCAGAGGTTGCTGGGAAAGACAGCCAGCTTTATGGTGCCTGCTCGTCCGGCCCGTCCCCTGAGCTATCGCGTTTCTTTCAAATGTCATACAAGGGGCGTCGGACGCGGCACCGCTGTGCCCGGCCTCGTGCGAGCTGCGGCTGCCCGTGGCGCCCGGTGTTGGGCCCGGAAGCCACTTCCCGCTGGAGAATCCTGCCCGGGAGCCTGGGAGCTGGGACTAGTTCTCCGAGGCCAAGGTCAGGGCAACCGAGGCCGGGAGGCCGGCACTGAGAGTGGATCCTACCTGAGGGCCAGGGGTGGGCGCCCACCAGCTGGTGAGGTGCCCGGGAGACAGCAGGTGTGCGTGCGTGTGTGTGCGTGTGTGCGTGTGTGTGCGTGTGCTCACATCTTCCTGTCTGTGAGTCTGCCTGAGCGTCCATGTGAGAGTTTCTGTGCATGGTCTGCAGATAGGTTTGTGTGCTTCTGTGTGCACACCTGGGTGTCCATGTCTCTGAGTGTGTCTAGCGTGGCCAGGTCCAGGCCAGATACTGGACAGGTGGCGGAGGCCGTGGTTTCAGCCTCATTGCCCACAGTCTGGAGGGAGTTGGCCGGGGAGCACGGAGTCCCTCCCGGAAGAGTGTAGTCTCTGCGGGGACAGGAAAACCCGAGCGGTGAGGGCAGAGCATGAGGGGCCAGGGCCCCGGAGACAAGGGACCTGATGGGGGACCCTCGATGCTCTGAGGAGGTAACATGAAAGCTGGGTGAGCAGAGGTGTGTGCGTGTCGGCCAGGTGGGAGGCAGGAGAAATTTTTCCAGGCAGAGGGAACAGCATGTGCAGAAGCTGGAGCGATAAGGGGTAGTAAGGAGACCTCGGTCACAGGATAATGACAGCTGAGGGGCCGAGGGGCGGTGGCAGGAGCTAGACACACAGGCCTGGAGGCCACAGCGACAATGGTGGGCCGGTCCTTGGAACCTCCAGACGGCTTGGTTAGGAAAATGGCCAGTTCCGTGGCTGTTTAACGGGGACCCTTGGTCTGCTGAGAGCAGGGCTGCAGGGTGCCCGGGATGAGGCCCGAGCAGAGCAGTCACCCAGTGAGGAGTGACAGCGACCAGTGCCCAGGGATGGGCTTGCAAAGGCAAGGCAAGGATGAGGTACAAAGCTTGGTGATGGGTGGGGTATGTGAGCCAGCGTGCAAGAGGCTCCCCTGTGTGTGCGTGCCTGTGAGTGTGTGTGCATACGCCTGCAGAGGGCTGAGGGCCAGGCCCTCTCTAGCCTCATGCCTGTGTCCCCACAGCCTTATAGCGGAGCGGACATGACAGTGACGGTAAGAAGGGCCCGGTGTTGCAACTGCATTTCCTCTCGAACCCAGGGCCACCAGAGATTAGCTGAGAGCCCTGTGTGTACTGGGTGATAACACCCCCACTCCCCCGTTTCCTAATCTCTGATTCATTTCCAACTGATAACAGGATGAGGGCCCATGGGCAGCTAAGAAATGCCCCAGCAGGGTCCTGCCAAGCGTGGAGCCGAGCCGCCTGCGGGGGGTGGGGGGTCTGAACCACAAAGACAGGAAGATCAGGGACAGGGTGAGCGTGGGGGGAGACGGGGCAGAGGGACAGGAGAGCTGGAGAGACAGGGAGACAGGGAGACAGAAACAGACACAGAAGAGCCGGGGTCAGGGTAGGGTGATGAGGAAGAAAGATAAGGCGGGAGAGAAACATGGACAGCAACAGCCAGACGGACAGATGTATAAATAGAGAGAGAGGAGTTGAGGGTCCAGGGGCTGGAGGAACTTAGTGAAGAGAAAGAAAAACAGAAGAGACAGTGTGAGAGACAGAGAAACAGGGAAGAGGTGACCCAAGGTCCAGAGAGAAGGGGAGAGTAAAAGGAGGGGGCAAAGGTAGAACGAGAACATGGGGGCCGGGGTGGGGGAGAGCTGGGCTGACCTGGCCCTCCCTGAGCACAACCCAGGCCTGAGCACAGTGGGGCAGGGCAGGGTGCTGGTCTTGCTGACTTGACCTGCCAGGCACAGGCCGCAGCTGGGACCTGGGAGGCAGGAGCAGTAGCTCTCTCCCCTACACCCCACCACACCCCCTCCCTCACCTTCCAGGGAGCCCTGTCCTCTGAGACCCTCAGGAAGAGAGGAGGAGCATGCTGGGGCTGTAGGCTGCACAGCTGGGGAGTTGATGAAGCTATGCTCCCGTCTGTGGGGCTCAGCCAGGACGAAAGGGACAGGGTAACCCCCATGCCCAGTGTTTATTTGTATCCTGATGGGGTCTGGTGGGTCCGGAGTGAAGCCGGAAAGTCAAGGTGGGGTGGACGGGACTCAATCCAGAGGAAGATGGCAGGGACTAGCAAGCAGGGGACTAGCAGCCCTCCTTGCTGAGCCTGGTGGGGAGCCAGTCGCCCCTCTGTTCCCCTCCCAGACCAGGCACTCCTCTGGGCTCAGCACCTGGGCTCATGCTCTGCAATGCTCAGAGGAAGGAAGGTGGCCTCCAGGGACTGTGGAGTCCTGGCCATGTCTCTCGAAACTCAGCCCCTGTGCTAGTCCCCTCCCTAACAAGGGACAGAAGGTACAGACAAGTGCCCACGTGAGGGGCACGAGGGCCACAGAGCAGGCTACTGGGCTCAGGCCTTCCTTCTGGGAAGGATGGGGTCCCCCCACCAGACCGGGGGCGGACAGCTTCCCAGAGCAGAAGGGGCAGTGGGCCTCCCCTCAGCATCTAGAGCCAGGCAGAAAGAATGGGTGTGTGGACAGGACGGGCAGCGTCTAGAGATAATGAGAGGCAGGGAGCAAATCACCAAGTCCCGGTGGGCAGAAAGGAGCTCTGGGAGGCTCCCCAACAGGGGGCCCACGATCCCATGGTGTTTCAGGAAGTCCCTCCATCCCCAGGACCCCCAGCCCAGACGGGTGAAGGACAATAGCAGACCGTGCCCCCGCCCCGGTCCTCCTCGCCTGCCCGGGGCCTACGGCCCAGGGAAGGCTCACCTCGCCTCCTCCCGGGGTAGGGCAGCCACCCCTCTGATTTGCCGTGCCCGCCCTGATGCCCCGACTGCAGCGACCACAGGAAGTGCTGCCCCAGCTCAGCACTTCCCTTTTCTGAAATCTGCCCCCAGCAGCCTGGTGGCCAGGGAAGGCAGACTTCCCGCTGCCCCCACCCCGGGGCTCTTTCCACCAGTCACAAGTGGTTTGTTCCTGAGCTTCCCTGGGCAGAGGTGACCTTCTTGCCTCAACCACAGATCAGTTATTTATCAGAACAGGAAAGATGGCACCAGAGATATATCCTTACCCACCCCAGGAGGGCCTGGCCTGCTCCAACGACCGCACGCCTGCTCCCCACATCACACGGGGCCTGCTCCCCACATCACACTGGAGAGTGTGGCCAGCGCGTGCAGGCTGCATGGGGGAGGGAGCCAAGCGGGAGGCCTCGGGGGCAGGTAGGGCACAGTGTGTGATGGACCCCAGCTCCAGGTCCAGGGGAGGTCTGTGTGTGAGCTGGGAGCAGTCTGGGCCTCTGGTGCCCTTCAGGTCCCATAAGACCCACCCCTGCCACAGATGCATTCTCAGCCTGTGGCGGGCCCCAGGGCTCCTCTGTCCCCCCAGCTGGGAATACCTTGGGCCCTGGGTCTCAGGCTGCTCCCCTGCCCCTTCATCCCGTAGCGAATACAGGGCTCATCCCCTGAGGATTCAGGATCCACTTGTGAGAAAGGGTGGAAGAAGCTTTCAAGTTTCTTCAACAGCAGTACTATTGATGTTCTAGGCTGGATAACTGATTCGGTGTGGTTAGGGTTGTTCCAGGCATTAGAGAATCTTTAGTGCCAACCCCGGCCTCTATTCACTAAATGGCAGGAATATTCCCCTGCCACCACCACCGTTACCGGTCACAACAATCAAAATTGTCTTCGGACGTTGCCAAATATTCCCTGGGAGGACAAAATTGTCCCACGTCAAGAACCACTGATCTAGGTACAACGGAAGGCCCAAGCTGCCCCGTGGCTAGAACGTGTCAGGGCTCAACTGGCCTGTCTTATAGTTTTGTGCTAGAAGGTCATGGGCTGAAGCGACAGTAACTGGTCAGAGTCTGGGGTTCTTGGAAGCTGGAGGGTGTGTCTGAGGAATCTGTGCTTCAGGGCTCCCTCTGGGGTTCTGGGCATAATCGTGCCAAAGAAACAGGGGCTGGAAAGGGGAGCCCCTGGGACTGGAAAGGAGGTGGTGAAGCTGGGAGGTTTCATTGAAGGGGAGGTCAAGATGTACTACGGGGGGGGGGGGTATGAACTGAGTTGCCTCAGGGCCATGGGCCATTTAGAGGGTAGGAGAGAAAGACTGGGAGAGACTTCAGAATCAGGGCAGGAGACGAGGATAGGATACGTGTCCTGGACTCCCTGAGGTGGTGAGCTGGAGTTGACCCCCTTCCATAAAGCCCAGGGCTGAAAAGACTGTCCCATGCAAAGGGGACTCGCAAAGCTGACCCAAGAAAGTGTAATGAAGCTTTCCATCCTCTGGGGTGGGAAAAAGTCGTCCCTTTTGAGAAACCAAAACCCTAGCCAGAGCCATGAATAAAGGTGGGATTCAAATCATGCAATCCAGGCCTTATAGAACCCCAAATCTAGAAAATAACATAAAAAATGATGTAGGACCATAAAGAAACTTACTTCCACTGACTTTGTATGGGCACTTCCACAGCCCAGGAAAATGACCATGGTGGTGGTGGGGGGGGAATTATTCCCAATAAAGATGAGCTCACGGGCGCCTGGGTGGCTCAGATGGTTAAGCGTCTGCCTTCGGCTCAGGTCATGATCCCAGAGTCCTGGGATCGAGTCCCGCATCGGGCTCCCGGCTCAGCGGGGAGTCTGCTTCTCCCTCTGACCCTCTCCCCTCTCATGCTGTTTCTCTCTCGCTCACTCTCTAAAAAATAAATAAAATCTTAAAAAAAAAAAAAAAAGATGAGCTCACAATAAAAAGAAGTCATGAATGACCCAAAAAAGCAAATCGCTATGTCAGCAGGAGATCTTAGATCTAAAGATATTAGTACAATTTGAAAAAGACTACGTAATACATATATTTTAAATTATCAAGGAGATAGAAGAGGGAGTAGGAAACATAATAAAAGTATTACCTAAAAATAAAGGGCAGCTAGATTTCTAAGGAAATTAAATAGTCATCGAAGTGTAAAATAAAAACTCAGTGGATGGATTCATCACAAACTAGTTGTGGTGGGGGAGGGGATTGGAAAACTGGGACAGTACGTCTGAGGAAATGTCATGAAATGCAGCACAGAGACATAAAAACAAAGGAAAATGAGACTGTAAGGCTCTTGGAGGAAAAAGTCAAATGGTCCAAAAAAGTTCAACATACATACAATAGGAATTCCAGAGGGTGAAAACAGGAAAAATTCAAGATGTAATGATTGAGAAATTTCCAGAACTAAGGAATGAATCTTCACATTGGACCCTAAGAAGGAGAAGTAAAAATAAATTCACACCAGAGTAAAACTACAGAACACTAAAAACAAAAAGGTAATCTTAAAAGTAGAGGCCATACCTCAGAGATATTGTGGTATATTGCAATAAAGCAAATACTGCAATAGAGTGAGTCAAATGACTTTTTTTGGTTTCCCAATTCATATAAAAGTATGTTTACACTGTACTACAGCCTGTTAAGTGTGCAACAGTATTTTGTCTTTAAAAATGTACATATCTTAGGGGCACCTGGGTGGCTCAGTCGTTAAGCGTCTGCCTTCGGCTCAGGTCATGCTCTCAGGGTCTTGGGATCGAGCCCCGCATCGGGCTCCCCGCTCGGTGGGAAGCCGGCTTCTCCCTCTCCCACTACCCCCTGCTTGTGTTCCCTCTCTCGCTGTGTCTCTCTCTGTCAAATAAATAAATAAAATCTTTAAAAAAAATGGACATATCTTAATTAAGAAAATAATTTACTGCTAAAAAATGTGTACTCTCATCTGAGCTTTCAGTAAGTCGTAATCACTGATCACCATAACAAACATAATAATAATGAAAAAGTTTGAAACATTACAAAAATCACCAAAGTGTGACATAAAGATAGACACAAAGTGAGCAAATGCTGTTGGAAAATGGCACCGACAGGCTCGCTCAACACAGGGTTGCCCCAAACCTTCAATTTATTAAAAAAAAAAAAAAAAAACAGTATCTCCAAAGTGCAGTAAAGTGAAGCACAATAAAATGAGGTACGCTTGCGGATGAGGAAGAAATGAGGGATTATGCCAAAGGAACGACATTTAGACTGATAACAGACTTCTCATCCACAATAATGGATGTCAGCAAACTAGAGAGCGATGTTTTCCAGGTGCTCAAGGAAATCACTTTCCACCAAGAACCCTATACTCCACTAAACTAGAATGGCATAAAGAATTGGATGCAAAGAAGTGGGCTTGAGGTAGGATCTGTGGTGAGAAGGAGTAGGGAGTCCTACTCCTGTCGGGAGTAGGACTGATGGTCTTCAAACCAGGTAGGTCATGGGTGGTGGTGCAGAGTGGAAAAGGTGGGTCATTCTGGTTTTTTGGAGGGTGGCTTCGATTTCCCTAGATAGGTCAGAGACTGAGATCTAGTCCAGAGAAGAACAACATAAAGTGGCAAGAGAAGCCCAGGATCTGGCAAGGTCATGAGGGTAGGGTCAAAATCTACGAGTGACCCTTTTCAGCCTGGAGCCATGCTGGCTTCTAGGGATAGCCACGCCTTCCCTAATCTCCACGTGACCCATTCTTGAGATGGGTCCACTTAGATGCTATCCTCTTTGGTGTGTTTTCCCCTCACCAGATACACTGTCTCTCCCTGTGAACTCCCCTATGAACTGTCTTAGATAATATCCATCTGGACTTCTATGTTCTCTTTCGCTATGAGACACCCACCCTGGATCCTGGGAAACTCACCTGTGCTCCCCACACAAGCTTCTCTGGCTCCCTTTCCCTGGTGGGCCGGCAGGAAGTGCGCACTCACTATTCAGTATCAGAGGCTGTCCATAGGATCAGCCACGCTCCAGCTGCCTTTGGTCAGAGGAAAGCTTCCGTGGAGCCAGAGAACCAGAATGCCTACAGCTACCCCAGGAGCGCTCTGAGAAGCTCCCATCTCAGTGCCTGAGACATGGGGTCAGAAGGTCCTCTGGGTTGCCCTGGAGGACAGAGAGTAACGGGTCAGCCACCCACTGTGGCCTAGGCCAGCTGTCATCACTTCCTATTGTCCCCAGCCTGTCCTCGGGGAAGATGTGGGGGGTAAGTCCCGGTTGTACAACATACCAATCCTTGGATGCAGAAACTGTCCATTCACTGCAAGGTCCAGCACACCTTTCCTGACTGGAGTTGGAAGTGACAACATAGGCCTAAGGACGGACACCCACCCCACTTAGATCTGGGGACTCAGACGGCTCAGGTCCTCTGGTTGGTGTGGCCTACGTCTTGGAATCACTGTTACCTGGCTCCTGTCTGGTCCTCAGACGCTGCAAACGTGTCCCTGCCATAGGGCCTTTGCACTGGCTATCCCCTCTCTTGATACGCACTTCCCCCCCTTACATGGACTTGGTCAGCTCCTTCCTCTCATTCGAGTCTTGGCTCAAGTATCACCTCTCAGGGCTGGGCTTCACCCTCCTTACAATTGGTTCCTTGGCTAAAACAGTCCCAAGTTCAAGTCTTGGCAGTGCCAGGGATTGGCTGTAGGACCCTGAGCAGACCTCTGGGCCTTGGCTTCCTCATCTGTAACCTAGCCCTGCCTGGCAGGGATCCTGGGGCGATTAATTAGAACAAAGAGCAGATGCCTTCGGCAGAGTTAGGTTCCTAAGGAGGCCCCTTAAGTGGGGAGGGTCAGGAGGCAGCTGCAGACTGACGGGGACCCCAGGCTGGAGTGCAGACCTTTGAGTGGGCCTTGTGGGGTCCAGCTAGAGAGCGCACAGTGCTACCCAGAGGCTGGACGCAAGGTTCCCAGCAGCCGTTGGCGGGTGACTCAGGCCCTCCAGGAGCAGCCACCCCCACACCCGCCTGGCCCTGGAGACCACTTCCTATTTGCATCCCATCCTGGCTGCGAACGTAACTCCTGCGCAGACAGGCTGACCTCCACAAGGGCCAAAGCTCGGGGTTTGCAGCTGCCCAGGAAGGGGGCCTAGCGCCAATCTGACCCACGCATGGCGGCTTCCGAAGAGAAGGGCTCCTCGCCTTCAGCACCCCTTGGGGCTGCATCCCCTCCTGGACTCTGTACCTGGCAGGGGGCTCCCCTCAGGCACCCTGAAGGCCTATCTTTGTGTGTCCGGCTCCTTCCTCTAAGGACCTAGGGGCTACCACCCCTGCCATCGCTTATCCCCTGCTCTGCCAGGTGGGCGGGGAGACCAGCCCGAGAAACATGGCATTAGCTGAAGCCCGGCATCCGCTCCACCTTTTGTAAGTCTGGGCCCCAGGCAAGGAGGGGAGAGCAGGCTCGATGCTTCAGAACCCCACCGCCCACCATGCCTGACCTCTGGGACGACCCCCACGGGACTAATGCAAACCAGCTCCTGGGAACCAGCCCACAGCAAGCCCCACTTGCCTTCAGCAACCCCGGCCTCTTCAGCTCATTCACATATGGCCCTTGAGGCATTCACATTGTAATGGAGCCTTGGGTAAATTGCGGCAGAAGAATCTGGCTCCAGTGGTGGAATGTCAGGCAGCGACAGTGGGTCAGAGGTCCCTGGGGCCCTGCTATCTCCACCAGCTCAGGGTCAGGGACCCAAGGCTGCCTTGGCCACGGGGTCTGGGAAAGGCCCTCTTGCTGTCCTGGAGCAGAGGGTGGATCTTTGCCCAGACCCCTTGTTCTGAGCACAAGACGTGGGGACTCCTCCATCTGAACTCCTATGTTCCACTCCAGGTCAGCAGGGTGGTGGCCCTCGAGACCACCTCAGATCAGCCATGAAAAAGTATGTGGAGAATCAAAGATTGGGGCCTTTTTGGTGCCTACCCATCCCCCAGTGGGGTGGAGAGAGGTATTTGGCCCTGGAGGGGGCAAGAGGCCCCTCAAGGCAGTCCCAAGGAGGTGACAGCCCCCCTCCGAAGGATGCAGGGGACACAGGGACAGCCCCTCGCTCCAGGCCTCAGCACCCAGCTGTCTACCCCCGAAGTGCACCCTAGGCCCGTGACAACCGCCCTCCACACGCCGCAGGACGTCCTTCCCGGAAGCACCCACTTCCCCTCTGAACGTCCCCTGTCAGGGCTTCGGCTCAGGACACCCTGTCCTCCCTGAGCTCCAGGTTCTGCCAAGTGGAGGCTGAGGAACCTCCGGGCCGAGGGCAGGCCTGCGTGGCCCCAGGGCTGCTGCAGGGTGACTGGGCTGTCTCAGGCTGTGTGACGGACGTGGGCAGTCAGAGCTCGGGCTCTGTGGGTCTGGGGGCCGCGTCAGGGTATGGGGTGTCGGTGTGCGTGTGAGTGTGAGTGTGCGTGCGGTGTATATGTTGGTAATTGCAGCACGCGTGTGTGTCCGTGGTCTGTGTCAACGTGGTGCGTGTGATGTGGGCGCTGTGTGGCGTCTGTCGGATGCGTCAGTGTGTGATGTGTGGGGGTCTGTGTGCAGTGGGCATGTCAACGTGTGGTGTGTATCTGTGTGTGTGAGTGTGTGCATAGAGCAGAGTGCGGGGTCGACCATCCGGCCTGGGTGTCTTGTACCAACACGGGGACTCCACAGGGAGCACCAGGGGCCCCAGGGGTGCTTGTTAGGAGGAGGAAGAGCTTAGGTTCCCCATGCAGCCCCTGAGTCCCCCATCCTTACGTCCTCATGGGGGTGCAGGGCAGGACGGGCGCGCCTCAGTGGCCAGGGCTTGGCACTGTCTGCACCCACTCTTCTTCTGTCCTCATGTTGGCCAAAGCCCCAGGGGCCCAGCGAGCCACACGTGTCCCCTCCGCAGGCCAGTCCTGGGCGCCGAGCAGGGAGAAGAGCATGGCTCACACCCAGGTCCCAGCCCATGACCCTCCACCCTCATGGCTCCGTCTGCTCTTTCGGCAGGATTTTCAACTCCCAGCCTCGGGTTCAAGTCCAGCTCCATCTCCCCGGGGATCGGTCACTCCTTCCTCAGAGGCTTCGATCCCTGGGCCTGGGTGGGGTCACCAGGAAGCAGGCTGAGCCCAAGGCAGGCAAGGAGGGGTTGCTCGCCACAGGGGACCTCTACTCTTGTTTTTCCCAACCTGAGTCCTGCACCCCAGGCTATTCCCACCTGCCCGGCCCAGGTCCCAAGGACGGAAGAAACAAGGCCCCCAGACAGCCCAGAAAACTGTCTGGGGGGTGTGTGTGTCAAGGGGGTGGCAGCAGGTTGGCCAAAGGCCTCAGAATGCAGTGCTGGGGCCTTCCGGATGCCCTGACCCCACCCGCTGACCTCAGGGCTTGCTGCCCACACACCCACACGGCCTGGGCCAGCCCGACCAGCCTTCCGCCTCAGGCCTGGCCCTCCCTCCTGGCTCCTGAGCATGTCCCAGGGTCCCCGCGGAGGGGGTCAGAATTCCCCCTGGGGACACCTCCCGGAGGCCTAAGGGGAGGCCGATGGAGTCAGGAGAGAAGTGAGGACTCCCCGACCCTGGCTACTCCCCTTACGTGCCTGTCTGAGCCTCAGGTTCCTGTCTGTGGTGTGTCCCCACACCTCCAGGTGCTCCTCGGCTGCCTTCCCATCTTAGGGGGCAGCCCCTGTCCATCGTGCTTCTCTGTTCTTCTCCCCTCACCCACCTTCTTCCTCACCTTGGTGGCTGTGAGGGGGGGGCGGGGGGGGTGTCTCATCACTGGAGCTTCTGGGCCATTGCCTCTCCCCCTCCTGCAGACCTGGACAGACAGACCCAGGACAGAGGGCTGCTGGGCCCTATGGCTCTCAGAACATCTGTGGCGGGGAGGGGTCTCCTCTTAGAAGCAGGAGGCT